AAAGACATTCTTGTCGTAGCATCTAAACAATATGCAGTATGACCTCCTCTGTCATCACACAGAGCTATGCATGTTTCAAACTTTTGACATTGTACATACCTCTTTACCAAACACCATAGCACCTCTATGTAAATAGACATTGACTATGTCAGAGTTGACACTAGGACTACCATTCTCTGTCTTGTAATGAGTGATTGATACATGGGATACCTATGAAAAGAAATAGCATCTATCTTTACCACTGTATAACATCTTGACAGCCATGGTCTGTTTATTTGATCACCACTATACTTTGGCGGAACCTTTTCAGCGAGTATGTACTAAAGTGCGCCCTCTCTGGCAATAAAAAATGATGTCATTTTATTTTATGTCAAATGTCTAAGGCTCTGTCTACTCTGATGTGGCATATATTTTACAGATGCTTCTAATCAAATCTAGTGTTACTAGTTTACCTTAATGGTCACAAGGGTAACTTTGTATAGAAGGTGTGTGCAAGTCTGGGGGAATTTGTAATACATTTCTATAAGAGTGTAATTCAATATAAGGTATAATTGTTGAATCCCTTAAATACCACTATAATGATAAACAACACAAACCTCCCCTTTAGCCAACATTTCATTGACAAATGTTTGCCATGATATATTCTCTGCTTCATCGGATCCACTGACAATATTTAGAATGAACAGAAACAGCATTAATAAAAACAATACTCTAACATTATCGCCTTCATTTCCTCGTTTTGCAGGATCTGAAAAACAAAAAAACTCTCTCAGTACACTAAAATAATTACAACCACACATGGTTCATGTACTTGTTTACATTTTGTACACTTGCACATGGACAGTGATTGGTTGACAAGTTAGCCATCTTGGATTCAATCTTCAAACAAATAACATTATTTAACCCTCTAAACGCAATTTTAGTCACCTTTCACAAAATAAACCAAAATAGTTTTTTTCTGATTTTTTCAAAATTGTTGTCTGAATAGTCCAAAATTAATAGACATTTTTTGGTGAGAAAAATCTATGTAAAAACATAGGAATACATCTCATGATAATGGACATGCATCTTATTGTATCATACTGCTTACACTATTGTAAATAAATAAATAAATAAATAAATAAATAAATTTATAAATAAATAAATAAATAAATAAATAAATAAATAAATAAATAAATAAATAAATAAATAAATAAATAAATAAATAAATAAATTTTGGCATGATAATAAATAATTTTAAATAATTCCAAAGTTGTAGTTCTATGTATAAAAAGACTACATGTGGTGAAAGCCTGCTTCTTGGTGTTGCTCCATTTCAATGGCGCCCTCTTTGGCATATTTTACAAAATTCATTACCTTCTTCTTCCTCCTCTTTGGGGTCCTCTCTCTCATTCTCCCGTCTCTGATTCTGCATCGATGGCGATGATGTACTGAAGTTCTGGATACCACCTGAAATAAGAAAAACAAGTCATTGATATGACATAGTCCAAGTCATGAAATGATAACTATTACATCCTTGGTTGTTGAGTATGTACACGTAGCTAATAATTAATAAGAACACAGGATGGTCACAACACTGGACTGCATTTAAGAAAATTGTGATTATCTGTATCTGTGAGAGCAAGAATTAATTAAATATGTATTAATTATTGTATAATGACATTTTAATAGTAGGAGAAAACCCAAAAATTCATAGCATGTTAGCACAAGGATACCAGTTGTTCAATCTACACGTATCAATTCCAAATAATCAACATGCACAAGATTACTTCTATAGTGACTAAATTCACTGTGTTTTCAGGGATATCTCACCTTTGATATCTATACACTGGTGTGCTATCTCACCTTTGATATCTATACACTGGTGTGATATCTCACCTTTGATATCTATACACTGGTGTGCTATGCAATGTCTTTTTTGATACATTAATCTATGACTTTGTTTAATTCTCACAACATCAATTTTTAAGTCATGGTATTCTAGGTATTAAAATTAGGTGAAAATAAAGAGGCTCAGTCAACTGAAATGAGTTTACAGTATCACACCAGTCAGACAGCAGGAAACAGGGGCGCAGCGCCATCATGCCATGGCCATGCACCCCTTACCCTGGGGAGCAGATCCTCTGGCAACAATAAAATTCTGAATGACGAGGGATCACATGTGGCCACTGTCTTCAACTGTGACCTGTCTGATAGTAATTTTTGCCCCAAGGAAGCCATAGAATGCTCCATTTTAACTTAGAATTATCAAAAATTTCACACTGTGGTAGGGAGAACCCTATCTCCCCCCACTCAGTGGCGCCGCTAAATTGCAGTGCTCACTCTTGCAGTTTTTTTTGAGAAAAACCCCTAAGACAGTTCGTACTCCGGTAGGTGGTTTCACATTGGGAAATAGGGCTGGGCCATTCATGTGTAAACTGAAACCTAAATTTTTAGGCCAGCCTAAATAAGACATGCTTGGGAGTGTTACTATACACACTTACCTGACCAGTTCTAACTAACAACTATTTTGAGAGTTATCATCCACACTCACTTGACCAGTCCTAACTAACAACTATTTTGAGAGTTATCATCCACACTCACCTGACCAGTCCTAACTAGCAACTATTTTGAGAGTTACCATCCACACTCACCTCACCAGTCCTAACTAACAACTATTTTGAGGGTTACTATCCACACTGACCTGACCAGTTCTAACTAACAATCTCTTTGAGTGTCACTACTAGTATCGTCACTCACCTGATCAGTTGTATACTAACAATTTTATTCATATATCATTAACTCTGGCAAGAATGACCAGTGTTCATGGTATACTTGTTGACCAGCTCGTCAGAAAGAAATGAAACTCATTGTCACAAAAGATGCATGGTTTTAAATCTCATCACTGGCTATAGTATCGGTAAGTTATTCATTAGAGCAGGAAATAGTTTTTTCTTTCTAAGGCTATTATTTTCTTAGAGGTTTAAAGAGAAGCTCCATAAATAATATAATATAGATAACCAGTATTATTATTATTAGTTGAGTAAATTTAGGCAAGGGTGAAAATGACAGTTTGCATGGAAAAATGAAATCACACTTACTGATAAGTTTCATTACATCTTCAACACTCCTGAAACCTGACCGGAAGAACATTCTTCTGCATGCACGTGTCTCTTGCACAAAATTCTACAAAAAAACTAGAAATGATGAGAATACAAGACAATATGTGTTTAGTATATACCTTAAATTTGTATGACATCGATTGAGAAATTCACAGTATTTTCTCTTTAAAGGGAAAGAAATCAATATCATGAATTAATGTACACAGCAAACCGTTTCTTCTGACTCCAGTATTATGTTTGACCTGGGGTCAAGATATTAACACCACAAAGAGAGAAAATCCAAATTCAGAGATACCATCCTTTCTCTGCAACTTTGTTGGTGTTAATCACTTTGTAGTAACACGCATGATACTTAGATGGAAAGAGTTCTTTGGTAACCCCACCCTAACCTTAACATACCTTTGGGCACTCCCCAATATATTTGTATATGGCAGCAATGAGCATATACAATTAAATTGGAAAGATGGAGTGGGGGTTAGAGTTAGAGCTCGGAGTGGGGGTACAAAAGAATCTCTCTACACTTTTTTATCTGACCTGATCAACATAATCATTTACAACAAAAATAAATTTTCAAATATTTTACCAGTTTTTGCTAAATGTAAATCAGCAAAGTAATTATTGACTTCCACAACAATGAACATATGTCATGAAAACTTTTCTGACAAACATTGATTATTAACAATAAACAGTTCAGGGTGAACTTATTACCAATACCGTATTACCACACCATGGAATTAAAAACACTTTTAGGTTCAGGTCATGATATTACTATTGATACAACAAACTGATTACCTTCATTGTTTATAAATATTTATACATTTCTTTGGCGGACAGTTGAATCCAAACAGCCAATCAATAAGTGCAGAGTGTAACAATGTTAATTGTAAATGTTCCAATGTTATTCCATTGGCAAACAGAAACCTCTTGTTTCCGTTGAAATTGCGAAGTTTACAAATATTTATAAGAATGAAGAGAATGGGTTTTTTTGTGTCGATAGCACAATTTTAAAGCATAAGCTGTAACTGCGGATAATTGTGGACAAAATGTGGACACTGAAAGCATACCATATATGCTATATATCATAGTTATATATTAAATCAATTGCAAATGAAAAAGATGTTTGCAGTGTTATGTCCAGGTCTCCAGAAGGGTGCAATCTATTGAAACCCAGTTTTGTCAATGGAACCTCAAGTTTACAGCACAAGATGACAACTTATCGAGGGCCCTGGGCAAAATGTCAAAATCGTCACCATCTTTAGGGGCTATGCCTCTATCTGATGGCCTCTCACTGATCATTTCCCATAATAGTGTCATGTGTCCTGATTTTCTACATTTCCATTCATGTGACGGATTGACTTTTAGTTTTCATATTGCATTTTAATATTACTTTACCCTTGTATAGGGTCATTCTATCTGAGTGAAAAAAATCGCTAAAACCAAAAACTTAACGATTTTCACCCAATTTTTGAAAATATCACTAATTCAGTCCAGCAGTTAGTGAGCACTAACATTTGGGACGTAAATCGCTCTGGTGACGAAAAAACATATTTTATATACATTTTGTATATGGTATTTTATAATCTAAAATAAAAAACTGAAAACAACAATTCTTGAATTGGAAAAAAAATATTGTTGATTTGCTGTGTGTTTGTATGACTGGTGGTAAGTTGTCTCTGTCAAGTGTCAGTTCGTAGTCGCTTGTTACATAAAAATAAATACGACTTTATCAATATTTTCGGTATCGTGTACACAAGGATTTTCCAACAATATCCCGATATTTGATAAAAGTCTTATTAATATTAATCTTTATGTTACATAGACCAAGCGTCGAACAAACAAACAAATAAACAGAATTAGTGAATAAAGTAAACTGGTAGTAATTACCAATGGAAAGGCTGCTGTGAATTTTCTTCGACATGATTTCTGTTGATTGCTTTGTTGACGATTATGAAACAGAACACGATTACATAAACACTGTTTACAAAAGTCGGTAGCAGAAATTGCATACGCTTTACTGAGTATCGCCAAATTAATGGATTTAGTTCGAATCAGGCCAGGCAGCTGGCCACGTAACCGATTACAAAGAATCTGCTGATACATGTTATTATGTCGCTTTTAAAAAATACTGCAAGGAATCCACATAAGCAGGAAGAAATTCCTCAATATCACTCAGCAAAATTTGCACGACTTTCTGGCCAAGGAGGCCGCCATTTTGGAAATTGAACCATGGGAAAAATGATGAAAGCGTCAAATCAGAGAATCAGTTCATTACTGAGTAAAATAACCTAACTTCATTGTGTACTATTTGAAGGTTAAATGTCCCGACAACAGGTCTCATCATAAAAAGTCAGCATAAATAGACAGATGGAAGAAAAATAAGTAACCAATGAACACGGTCGTTACGAAACATTCAGTTAAATAGGTCACATGACTGTGAAAAAGCCAATAACACAAAGGCTTTTTGCCGCGTAAAGTCAAAGGCGCCATGTCTGATTACGGTAGGTACTTGCTTTATTTGTAGATTTTGATGTTTTTGGACACTCTCGGCACAATATGAGGAATTTTACACAGTCGTTGAGTATTTCTACTTATGTCAGAAGTGTGCAAACTTCAGTCGTACGCGATCGTTTGCAATTCGCCAGCCAAGTCCATGTACTATAATACTATAATTTGACAGAAAATAGTTAAGCCGCTTGTAATCGTATCTAGTAGTGGGATGTTATTGTTATCATAGCGGCTGGAGTCTCTTCGGACGTATGCAGAATAATTATATTTGGGTCATTATATTCCTATTCCACGGTTTCTGTCGGTGTTGTGATTTGATCAACATATTCCAGGATTAACTAATTCAATATATATAAGGTAGTTGTAAAAACATTTCTGACATTAATAAATTCACTGTTCCAGTGTGAATGTTTCACTGTGAAAACTCTCATAATCGGCATTTTTACAGATTCTCGTTTAGCACAGATATATATATTATACACCGTAGTGTTGCATGTGACCCATACATTCTGAAATAAGAGTCATTTAACACAAAAACATATGAATTATGCGTATTTGAGTGGTACATTAAACATGAGCAACAGGTTGAATGATACAATTACTATTCTGTGGCAACAAAGACAGTATTACTCACCATGGACATTTTCTAGTATTACCATATTAGTCACTATAATATTACCTGCACCACACCCTGCTAAAAATTACATCACGCAATTTATTTTGTGCATGTGTATGTTTTAAATTTGCCGAAATCCTAATTTAATTATTGTTTTTTTTGTTTACATTCATGCGCATATTTTTGGCCTTTGTATTTGGTTTGGATGAGCGCATGTTGCAATTCAAATGTTGTCAATATCATATTCAATGCTCTGAAACGATCAGTGCTAGAAAGAATATTTTTGTGCCAGTCATGGTTCTTTTTTTTTTACACTTTAATAACAATGGATTAAATATGTTAATATATTTGAAGATTCTTTGTGCTATTTATTTAGTCTTTTTTTTTTTTAATACTTCCTGTGAACAGACTTTCGTATTCACATGAGTGTAATAACCATTATACGTATACATACTCAAAGCATTATCACTTTGTTATATTTTTCTAGTTTATTTACTACAACATTGCAGCGAGTGCATACATTATGGTGTTGTAGTTCCTAGAATACAATGGATCACTGGCTTTGTCCTATATTTAGGACAGAAAGGGCTGAACTGTATCACAATCGAGGAGCTGCGAAAATGTGTTTATTTAGCTCAGAGTTACAGTATTAATTGGATATTTTACTATTTAACTGGCTGCATTTATTTTTCTCATATTCAGAACACCAGTACCCTGTGTTTTGCATTATTAATCTTCCCACAGGCTCCACATGTTAGTAACAAAAGAAAACAACTGAATTTTATTTTTCCTATTTTGTTGCTTTACTTTCTAATCTTTTGCCAGATTATCTGGCTCAGATTTACAAATATCATGCACTATAGTTTTCTCTTGGCCGTTGAAGATATATGGAATCAATGTATTTCATTGTTATCAATATTAATTTTAATTTATAGGAATTATGTGGAGCTACTTTCATTTAAATTACAAGAAGCCCTAGCGATAACTCAAGTTCTATGGAATTTTATTCTCTATTGCCGTGTTTTAAGGACAATCACATTTGCTACATGATTGTGTTCAAGCTATGGCAGAAAAGAGCCTTTCTCATAAAAAGGTAAGTTGTCAAAATAAATGATTGAATAATCACTGCTAAAGGTATACCGAAGCTTCCCAAGGATGCATACCAATTTATTTTTATTTTTAAATTCACTGAAATACATTCAGTAAATCAACAATATGTCATGATAAAAGTACATGTTTTGTTGCAATGAATTGGTATCTTATTCTGGATTTTAAAAATAGGCTTGGAATAATGCTTTTAAAATTAAGTTCTATAGAAACTGGTCTGACATGTAATTGGAGATTCATTTGTATTATTTTGAATATGTTCAACAAGATGACATCGGGAAACCTACATGATGAATATTCCATTAATGAATTGACATCTACATGTATGTTAGACAATAATTATTGAAATAGCGAGGAATTGTGAATCATTTTTGTTTATTTTACTGTACGAAAGTCATAATTTATATGACCTCAGATATAAATGTCTAGCATTAAAGTGAATTTTTGCAATTACAAATAAGAGTGCAGATAACGTCATAGAAGGTCAGAAGGCAAAATTTGACATTTTACATTGGATTTGTGCTCTTATTGATTTTCAGCTTTGTCTGTTGTTTTTTTCAATCCGAACATTTAATGATGTCAACAGGAAACATAGATTTGGGTTTCTCCGAATCTGTGTGAGTGGAAATCAAACATGAAATATAGACATGTTGACTAGAGCAAAGAAGCAAGTTAATCCTGGATTAAAGTATTATATTTTGAAATAGATAATTAAAATTCTCACTGGGATTAAACAACATGATAAATATTATTAAGAATACCATGTTTTAGGAAATGATTTTAATAATTCAAATTGCCTGATATTTGACCCATGGTATTCAAATAGTGATACCTGTTTTCCTGAAATTGAGTAATCGCATTTAATAACATATTTTTTATTGAAAACATGCTGCTCAGTATTTTTTAGATTATCTTACACATTTTTGAATACATATGTTATAGCTTATGTTAAACCTTTCTCCCATGCTTTTTCATTTAAAAATGGCATGAAGTGAATTTTAATTTTTGTACAGACTTGTAAATTAATTTACATCATTTTCTAAACCAAAACTAAAGTTTTTATACAAGTAGGATTGTTTAGAAATAACAAAACTGTCTTGTCTTGTGTTTAGCATGTGATTGAGCTCTACAGATAATCTACGTCTACATGTAAATCATTCACAAAAATACAAAACTCCGTTATAGGCCTTCAGAGTTTAGAGGGCACACGTTTTCAAATTCAAATAGCAATAATACGGGAATATTCTGCCTATTTTTATGTATTTTTTTATATTTTTTTAATAACATTTGACCAGTTGGGCATATTTTCTTTGAGGAAAATACATTCAAAATATTTCCAGACTACAAAACGTTATAGTTTGTTCACAGATGCATCTCTAATAGAGCAAATACTGTAGTCATTTTAAAACAAGTTTGATTCTGACTATGACGTCTGAACAGTTAAATACTTCAATCAGTTTTGTCTGCTTCTTTTTCACAATCAATCTACGTCAAAGTCAACCTTAAATTAGCTATCCTCAGCATCATAGGTCATAGGTCAAATACAATGTATGATATAAAAGAAAAAAAGAATAATCTAAACTAAACATCTAAGCTATTGCTGCACAGAAATAATACAGCGAATGGAATAATAATTATAGAAAACATTTTGATGTCTAACTAGACAGTTCAACTTAATTAACAAACACACCTATGATTTGCATCTCATCCGACATTTATGCATGTTTTGTCTTCTATGCAATTTTTCATCCATGAATCAATGAAAACAATATTTTATCTTTTCAAGCAGTTTTTTTTTAATGTGATTACATTCTCTCAAAGATGAGAATCTTCACAGATTTTTCATTAATTTCACTGAGATTAGTGCAGCTCAGCATCTTTGATCTACTGAGTTAAAGCAAGAGATTAGTTTGTTTATTCAAAATATTATTATGAACATTTGTGGGATGTTTGCTGATCTAGTTGGTTCTAAGCCACATAAGCAAGCGGGTTGATGCACATGGTTATTTTGTAGTGACAGGCAGGTGGCCTCATTTACATAACAATAATTATTTGCATTTTTCTTTTCTAACATTTAAATACTATTGAAGTCACAGTCGTGAGCTAATCTACATTCTTTGAAGGTCTAGATCAACTTGTCATATTTCACAAAAAATAATCCTGCAAAACATTTCCATATGTCTTTTGTGAAAATTTTTTTCAGACCTGTATGAAGTGATGTTCATTTAGTCCAGTACCGTTGGTAGTACAGCGAGTGCTGAAATAAACTGATCAGGAAAACCACTATCTTCATATCAATAGACCATTTTCCGTTCACTGCGAGAATCACGCGTTATGCGTGAAATCAAACGTAAAAACAGGACAAACAAAGGTCATAGCGTCGTAGTCGTGTCAAACATCGCGTGGGATTCGACAAACGCGAAAGTATTTCGGGGACATTTCCATGCTTAATAATGTGCTGTCCACATTTGATGATAGGCAATTTCGATTAAGTAAGGGTATTCGGAAGCAATATTCCTCTGTCGAAGATCGGCCGGTCAATGTAAGCTGCGAAATAAAGAAATTCTAGTTCAAAATCAAAACGTTCGATTTTTGCGGCAGACGTTCGATGCGCGTCTTTCATGCATCTCGCGAGATCTCGTAATTGTACGGAAAATTACCTATTTCCCCCAGGCCAACATTGCAGTAGTGTGTACTGTAAAATACTTTATTTTCACTTGGAATTAATTTTTTTTTTTTTTTTTTTTTTTTTTTAAATGTTTTTTGTGCCAGGCGACAGTTCCGGACTTTGAATGTCACTGTTGTCTCTCCTGACTTTTTTGTATGTGCAAATTGCAAGTGCAAGTGCTGACACATAGTGCATTTTGCCACAGAAGTCATTTCCTGTTTGGGACTACATGACAGGGCTGTGCGGCCATCTCCCTATCAAATGGCAATTTAATGCGCTATCCTGGCGTCAGCCAGGCTCGGTCAAACACAAGCACCTGCGGACCTTAACCAAGGTTCCCCCAAAGTCGCATTCATTAGTGAATGAATCTCGGCCAGTGGATTGGCCTTCCCATTGAGTCTGTGGCACACTCACCCAGGGTAGGGGTCGACCCCTTTGATGTTCAGCCTAAGGTAGGATTTGAATTTGGGTCTACCGATCATGAGTCTGACGCGACAACCACTATGCTACCAGTGACCGGAATTAATTTTTGCTAAAGGAATGATTCAGTGAAAATAAAATCCAGTGAATCCTATATTTCACTGTCAAAAATCAGAAAATAAATTTCATACAAAACACCCAAAAAGTCTTTTCAGTAGAAACACTCATTTGCATATCGAGTACTAGAATTTGAAATAAAATTGATTGTTAATAATTCATTGTTCAATTCTAGTACACTCGTAGGATTCTATAATTCAACATTTTCGTATTTCACACAATTTTGTTTTTTCGAAATACAAATCCAAATCCATAAATCACATTTGAAAATGGTTTTACCCACTCATCGTTTTAATTTGAGCAATTTTCACTGCACTCAAGTTACACATATCTCTCATGAATATGTTTATGTTAAGAAGTGTCAGCCTCTTGGAAGTGAAAGTGTCAAAGTCAATATAATATCAATCTAATGTTGCAAGGAAAACTGCTTGGGAACATTTTTCTTGATCAGTTCATTTTTGTAGCCCTCTGTAATGAACAAATTATATAAAAATACATCCAAATGTGCAAAATGGTGCTCAAAGGGCTCCTTGCATATGAACTTAAAAATAGGATATTCAAGGATGGCTCTAATCACACATTCAATAATGGGTTGTTTGTGTTGTGCACCTGTCCTTATTAGAGACTTCCAAATGATGGGGGGGGGGGGGGAGAACATAAAAACTATAATACCAACATATCTTGCATTGCCCTGCTCCTATATAAATAGAATCTTTGTTGCTTCCATTTAGAAAAGGCCATTGAGAGTAACATCAAGTAATTCTAGACATACAATGTACACTGCAATTGCATAGTTTACTGTCAAATATATTTTATTGCACTATGTCCCACATACATACATTATGCTTTATAGCTTTTAAACTGTTTATTGATTCATCTCATATTTTATATACATCTGTCTTATTGTGCACATACATGAATGTTTGTGATAATCTGGATGTCAGTTAACTTCATTTTTTATGATCACTCTTAAACAACTCAACATCACCTTGTTAATATTTTTTATTCTTTCAGTCTTATTGGGTAATCTTTAGAATTTTTTGTGAAACTTTTACATCAACATTTTGTTTAAAAAAGAAAAAAACATTTTAAATTAATTAATTAAGTTTATAAATAGCAAGAGCTTTTTAGCTCCGCTGTCGACTTTGTCGAGCGGAGCTTATCATATGAGTGATTGTCCGTCGTCCGTGTCAATGTTTTACTTTTTCGACTTCTTCTTGAAAACTACAAGCCTGAATGCTTTGATACTTGGTGTATATGTACCTTGGGTAGACCTCTCTTAGGTTTGTTCATTTCATGTTGATATCTTCAATTCTCTAATTTTGGTGAATATTTTTGTCATTTTTGGTAAAAAGTGATATTTTCAACTTCTTGTTAAAAACCGCAAGTGCAATTGCTTTGATACTACATGTGGACCTCTCTCAGATTTGTTCATTTTGTAATGATATCTTTAATTCTCTAATTTTGGTGAATATTTTTGTCATTTTTGGTAAAAAGTGATATTTTCGACTTCTTGTTAAAAACCGCAAGTGCAATTGCTTTGATATTACATATATAGGTACTACATGTGGACCTCTCTCAGATTTGTTCATTTTGTAATGATATCTTTAATTCTCTAATTTTGGTGAATATTTTTGTCATTTTTGGTAAAAAGTGATATTTTCAACTTCTTGTTAAAAACCGCAAGTGCAATTGCTTTGATATTACATATATAGGTACTACATGTGGACCTCTCTCAGAATTGTTCATTTTGTAATGATATCTTTAATTCTCTAATTTTGGTGAATATTTTTATCATTTTTGGTAAAAAGTGATATTTTCGACTTCTTGTTAAAAACCACAAGTCCAATTGCTTTGATATTACATATATAGGTACTACATGTGGACCTTTCTCAGATTTGTTCATTTTGTGATGATATCCTCAATTCTCTAATTTTGGTGAATATTTTTGTAATTTTTGGTAAAAAGTGATATTTTCGACTTCTTGTTAAAAACTGTAAGTCCGACTGCTTTGATACTATACATATTGTTCATTTTCTGATGATGTCTTCAGTTCTTTAATTGAAATGTGCATTTCTAACAGCGGAGCTATCTCAGCCGATAGGCTGCTTGTGTTAATTACTCTTAAAAATTGTTTTAAGAGCATCCTGCTCTTTATCTTCGTTACATCTCAATATGTAAAAAAAAATCCTGTCTTTTAGGCATAACAAAAGGAATAATTGAGACATAGAAACAATTCTCATTATGTCTTTGAATCGGATTAGTCTGATAGTTTTCAAGTAATTTTTTTCTTTTTCTCTGTATCTCAAATAGGAGAAGCCTCCAATCATGAAGTCACCGTCGTCACGTCAAGAAACTAAGACATTGAAAAGAAAATTATTCTCATCTTTATCTTCCCTACCTGAGAATGAAGGTAAGGTTTATTTCTGCTACAAGTGTAGTTTAACTGTCTCATCCATGTGTGTAACATGCACATTATTATAATAAAAACCCTGAGCTCTTCCCTGTGGTGTGTGTAACATGTACATTATAATAATAAAAACCCTGAGCTCTTTCATGTGGTGTGTGTAACATGTACATTATAATAATAAAAACCCTGAGCTCTTTCATGTGGTGTGTGTAACATGTACATTATAATAATAAAAACCCTGAGCTCTTCCGTTT